GAATAGAAGTGCTTATCTCCTGCTACCATAACTACCGTTCCTCCTTACGATCGCATAGAGCTTTTGCCTACCATCTTGCATGGCGGCATCTGATGAATGAAATGAAAGTACAAGGTTGAAACCGTTCACGAAGAAACCCCTTTTTTGGTACCGAGAAAGTGTTCACGCGACTGACAAGAGCGTTGAATAACGAGTTCATTTAAACTTTTATGAATTCATTGATGAATTGATTATCACTTCTCCCGGATCGACGAAGGCCGTGCAAAATGTAGAAAAATCGCATCGAAAATTCGGTTTTTTGCCCCGGGTGGGACTTAATGCGAATGCGCGAAGCTAAGTTTTGTGATGTATCGCTTCGGAAATTAACGTGGCATCTCTAGTAACGGATGAAACCCAACATATTAGATGGCGATTTTTAAGACATACCTCGTCGGGAAATTGGTGTTCAATGTAGGCTGCCTTGGCCCTTTCGGCTTCAGTAGTTAATGCAGACGAAGGGATTTTGTGCACGATATCCGGCTTCCCAAAGGAACATGTCTTTTTTGATGCCGTCTCGCTTTCTTCAAAGTCCAAGTCATCTGATCCTGCGTCCTCTGATTCCGAAGGTATTTCCGCGGCATCCTCATGAACAGGCATTTCTTCATCCTCTAGCAATCGGTGGACGGTAGATAAAATGGTCTTAGTGGTCTTTAATGGGGGGGTTAATTTCAACGAATCGGGTGAAAATTCGCTAAGTTTGCAGTTAAAACTCAAGGATGGAAGTAAAAGGATCAAAATTCACGATAAACACGCTATGCAAACTGACATTCTGGCTTAAGAACAAATACCTACATACCGGGGAATACAGATTTTCCATAAAAGAGGTACACTGGCCACAAGCATAAATAAAAACCACGAATTAAGCCGGTGTGACAGCCATGATTTTTCTCTGGCAAAAAAAACTCGGTAACTGATCCTGGCGGGTTCTGCTCCATATTAGTGCAAGATTTCTTACTCCCCACATCCACACAATCGCCTACGAAGGAGATAAAGCGAAAAAAAGGCTTTCCTATTCTATAAAAGTTCTGGCAAATACAACTGTGTGCGTTAAACAGAGGTGTGGGGGTCCAAACTTGACTGGCTAACGACGACTACTGAAAGCCTTCCAGTCCTTGTTGGCAATACTTGACATCTGCATATTTACTGAAAATACACACGCTATTAACGTACTACACCCAACTAAAAAAACAGCCGCAGACGGCAGATCAAGCATAAAGGTTCGTGCTGGTATTTAGCATCCGATGTATGCATTGAGGCAAATAAACAGCAAGATTACAAATCTCTTGGTGACTGCAAAAACCAAATTACCAGTCCCAAAGTTAGATTCGTCTTCATC